TACCAGCCCATCATATATACTTAATAATAAAAATAAATCTTAAAAATATTTTCAAAACAAGTGTTAGATGGAATGCTTTTGCTGGGGCCTTAAACACTGACTCTCCAGTTGCATAACATTGGAGGAAAAGGACCTGATAGTAGGAGATAGGCATCTAAGGGATGTAATCAGCTAACTAGGACCTAGTAATAGAGAACAGGTTTCACACATAGCTAAGGAATGTAATTAGTAAACCCCAAATGCATGGGGGAACTTGTGCCTAGTAAATGATCAAATAGTATTGAACTGTGGGAAGTAAATCCCAAGTTTGTTACAGAAACGAATAAGTACTAGAAGTATTTGCAGCAGGAAATGGCCACTTTTATTCATAAGACTGTAAAACCAAATACAATCTTTGTATTGATTTAAATCATTCATACAAAGCCCTTCACTATGCTGGGTTGTCTCAAGAAATGATGGCTCTATCACTACTGTGTCATCTTGGTGCTTGTAGCAAAAACAATAATTAAAGTCACATATCTGTCTTGGCATGGGTTTTGGTATATTCATATGAAGTTAAAGTCATTTTGTTATGCTGTATGTCTGATTTTGCTCTTGTTTAAATGATTTTTGTGTTCTGATACAAATGTAAGGCCATTTTTTACAATATATTGTACATATGTGTCTACTCTGTTTAAAGAATTTTCTTATATTGATACCAATTTATGGTTATTTTTGTCACCACATTGTGTATATGTTTCTGCTCTTGTTTAACATATTGTACCTAGGCAGTTCATTTAATAATGTAAGGCAAAGTTTTGTTTTTGAAAGCTACTATTATTAAATACTTATGATAATCTGAAAAAAATATTTTCAAAACAAAAAGCAAATATTAATGTAAGGTAAGAAGATAACTATTGTATTTTATCTTTACTTTTTAAATTTTAATTTTTTTTCATTTGTGTCTGTGAATGTTTTGCCTACATGTATGTCTATGCACTACATGTGTGCCTGGTGCCAAAAGAAGTCAGAAAGAAGGTGCTGGGTTCCTTGGAATTGCAATTATGGATGATTATGAGTTACCATAGGAATCTTATCTGTTCCCCTGCAAGAATAAGTGTTTTTAGCTGTTGAGTTCTCTCTCCTGTCCTAAGTTCCTTTCCAGAAATTTCTAGATATTTCCACTGAAGGCATTTGAGCTTTTCTTTTGAACATAGTAAAATATTGCACAATTCCCTATAACTCATCATCTAAAACAGTGGTCATGTTACCCTCAGGATTCACATATTGGATACTTGCATTATAATTTATAGCACTAACAAAATTATAGTTATGAAGGAGTGACAAAATAATTGTATGGTTGTGGTTACCACAATAGAAGAAACTGTGTTAAAGGGTTATAGCATTAGGAAGGCTGAGGACCACCATGCTAAAGGAAGTGGTGTTGATATTAATAGTGTTATTTATTTTGCAGTCTCAGTTTGGTTTCAGAAGTTTATATTTTATTTGCATCCAAGTGCCCAAAAAGAAATCAGTTAGAAAAATATGCCATGTCAGCAAATTTTGGTTTTAATTTGCACATGAAATACATAAAAACAAATACTTCTGGAATATTTAAACATCTTACCACATATGTTAGACAGAACCCGGATCCTCTAAAGTGGGGATTAACAGTATGTTTTCCCACACTTTGGAAGATTGCTTTCACCATAACAGTGGACTATGCTTTCAAGGATATTTTTTTTTATGTAGTGGGATATTTGAAAGGTTCAGGCATTATGCTGATCTGCCCTGTTACCTGGCAGAATGCACTCAGGCAACACTCTGGCCAGCCCAGAATTCTGTGAGAACCACGCAGGTACAAAGGACCCCTTTAAAGGACTGACTTCTGCCTGCTTATGCTCTTTTTTACTCTTGTCTTCCTCTCCATCTCATCCCCCCCCCCTCATCTTATCTCTCTCAGCTCTGCATGGCTTGGTTATCTCTCATTCCTCTTTCCCTCCCTGTCTACCAATAAACTCCACGTGGGATCATTGAGTCACGGTTTGTGTCTTGTTACTTCAAATTTGAAGTATATGCATTGTATTTCTGTGTCCAAGGGCCTATTGTTTTCCATGTCAAGTATTGAATACAGTTGCTAGGCAAGTGTCCTACCATTGAACCACACCCTAGTCCCTGAAGACTATTCTCTGGGACCCCTAATTGAAATCCAATTAGTTTGAATGATTATAATACAAGAAAGTATTATCTGAATACTTTTTACATTGATTTATTAAAAAGAAAGAGTAACTGTCTTCACATCCTATGGTTTGGAGCATTATATAAGATACTGGGTTCTAGAAATTGTTGTACAATGAGGAAAGATTTTTAAGAGTTCATATTTTAAGATTGTCAGTGTAGGGAAAAGGGACCAGTCAAAGAAACACACCCTGAGCAGAGCCAAAGAAACACAATTGGGTCCTGCAACCAGAACCAAAGAAATGTACCCTGACCCTAAAACCAGTGTCAAAGGAACACACTTTGTCCCTGGAATCAGAGTCAGTGAAAGAAATGTACCCTGACCCTAAAATTGGAGTCAAAAGGCTAAAAAGGACTAGAGAAAGAAACACACTTTGGCCCTGAAACCAGAGCCAAATCTGACCCTAATCCTGTGTAAAAAAGTAACCAATCCCAGAGCAGAGCTCTAGCCAATCTGAGCTCAGCACTGAAATCAGACCAATCCCTACTCTGGATAAACTTTCCCACCCCCAACAATCCCTATATAAACCCTGTGTATGTTCAGCTTGGCTGGTCCAGCTGCCTTCCAATAAACCCCTTTGGATGAGCTTCGGGTGAAGATCTTCGGGTGAAGATCTTCTGCGGCAGCGACAGAGCAGAGGCGACCCTGGGCAGAGCAGAGCAGAGCAAGCAGAGGCGACCCTGGGCAGAGCAGAGCAGAGCAGAGCAGAGCAGAGCAAGCAGAGGCGACAGAGCAGAGGCGACCCTGGGCAGAGCAGAGCAGAGAAGAGCAGAGCTCTGCTTCCCGGGGAAACCTTCCTTGGCAGAGCTGAGTCGTTACACTCTGCTCCCCCTCCCCGCTCTCTGTTTCCTGGAGCAGAGCTGAACTGTAGCAACTTTGCCCCAGAAACCTCTTGCCTAGCAAAACTGCTACACTAGGCGAATGTCCCCAGCTGGAAGACCCTGTCCTGCCAGAGCGGAGCTGATACACCGGAGAAGCCTTTCTCTGAGGCAAGGCTGTAAGCTGCCAAGCTTACTGCAACCTGTGGTGGTCCTTGGCTCCCGAGCTCCAGGATACCTTTCCACCTGAGCTGTGTAACACTCAGTATCCTTGGCTCCCGAGCTCCAGGATACCTTTCCACCTGAACTGTGTAACACTCAGTATTCTGTGACTCCCGAGTGCCAGAATACCTGACCTACTCCTGTTCCATCCTGTCCCGACCCATCCCGAAACCCTTAAAGTCAGTGCAGAGATTCAGAGGAAGCCTAGTTCCTAATAATCTTATGAATTATATGCCAGAACTAGACAGAGTAGCACCAGGTTGTTTTTGTTATTGTTGTTGTTTTGTTTTGTTTTGTTTTTCTGATTCCCTTGGCAAACATAGATCAAGACATATTGGCTTTACATGTTTTTCTATATGTTTATCATCTGTCTACCTGTCTCTCTGATCCATGTCTACTGAATGAACTTTTGTATATTTATTAGTAATTGTAGGACCAAAATGTTCCCAAAGCCTTTTCTTTTTTTTATCATTTTTTATTTTAATTTTAAATAGCTTGTTTTACATGTCAATCCCAGTTCCCTCTCCCTCCCCTCCTCCCACACTCCCCTTCCCCCCTCCCTCCCACCCTATTGCCAAATGCTTCCACATAGGGGATATCTAGAGTCTGTTATTTTACTCTTGGTAGGGTCAAGGCACTCCCCTAAGAGTCCAGGCTGAGAGAGCATCTCTCTTTGTGCTATAGGCACATGAAGACAGTTTGTATACCAGGGATAGACACTGATCCACAGCTCAGGGCCCCATAGGTTGCCCAGGCCTTCTCACTGACACTCACATTTGGGGGGTCCAGATCAGTCCCATGCTGGCCTCCCCACTGTCGGTCTGGGGTCCAAGAGCACTCCCCTGTTCAGATCAGCTGTCTCTGCTGGTTTTGCCAGCCCATTCTTTGCCAATTTGCTCATCACTCCTCTCTCTCTGTCACTGGGTTCCTTGGGTTCAGTTCAGTGCTTAGTTGTGTGTTTGCCTCTGCTTCCATCAGTCACAGGATGAAGGCTCCCGGATGGTTATAGACATCAAGTTCATTATCAGGAATGGGCATTCGAGGTGGTCCCTCCACTATTGCTTAGCTTGCCAATTGATGTTATACCTTTAGATCACTCGAGGTCACTCTGGTGCCTGATCTGTCTTCGATCCTATGATTCCCTCTTCCCCCTATTCTACCCCCACCCCCTCAACTTCCTGTTCCCCCATGACCAACTCCCTTCCTCTTTACCCCCTCTATTCTTCCCAGGTCCCACTCCCCCCCACCCCTCGCCATGTTCCTCATCCATTCAGAGGATCTTGTCTCCATCCTCTTCTCTTGGGTACTATGCATATTTGCATATCTTTTAGGTTCTTTCCTGTTTCCCAGACTCTCTATCTGTGGAAGTGCAGACTGGCACTATCCTGATCCATATCTAGAATCCCCCCAAAGCCTTTTCTAATGCTGAAATTCTTGCCCAACCTTCCTTTCTTTTGAGTCTCCCTATCTGTGGTTTGCATTCATTCAGGTATCTTTAACCACTTGCTGGATAACTATCAGATCTACTGGTTTTGGGAATCAAGTAAAGCCTTCATGCATGTGGGTGGAGAGGCAGAGGGAGGGGAATTTGTCTTCTTTGTCTGAGGGGTGAAATTGCCTACATATGTTGTTTCAGCAACTTACTATTAGTTATGGATTTCTGTAATAGTCTCTGTGGTCTTCATATAGCATGTTTTGTTCTGTTTTTACTGATGACATAGATAGGTAGGGTCTGGCTCTTCCTACTAGATTTCACTGTGCTATTTGTTGTTCCCTGTGCTCCACCATCTTTAGCCTATTTCAGGTCTTCTGACCACTATGTTCTTTGCTCTTACTATAGCAAGGGCCTGATTGTTTGTGTTTCAACCTCAATTAGCCATCTTCCACAGCTCAGAATTCACTTCTCTTAGTGGATGTATTGTCCTTGCATAACATAGACTTCCACTGTGGAATTCTACACAGTTTTAATTTTTTTGTTAACTACTGTAGCTAAGGTTTGAAGTAATTCTCTCCAACATGTTCAGTTCTATCAAAATAGGATTTCTGTATTTTTCTCCCCATCTTCTTGTTCTTATACCTAAATACGGTACATATAATGAGCACCCAGTAACTGAAGGCATTGTCTTCCACCAAAACCTGGATTTGGGACAGCACATTGGGAAATTTTGTTACATGTGCTTGTCTCTGAAAGCAAGACTGAACAAAAAGTGGCTGAATATTACCTATTTGGTCCATTTTACTTGAAAAGAATCTATTATTAATACTTCTAAATGGAAACTGAGGGCAGCATCATAGAGTTTATTAATGACATACAGAATTGTGAGTTAAACTGTGAAGAACTTAAAATTTTAATACAAAGAGAGAGAGATTGAGAGATGAGTAAAGTAGACTAGAAAATAAACAAAACATCTAAAGAGAAAAACTGAAAGAAAGAATTTTAAACACCCCCTCCCAAGTTTGGCCACCTATATCCTACCTCAATCTAACATACATTATAAATTCCTATGAGAATAATTCTGCTGAAGAGCAAACTGATAATTTCATATCTTTGCAAATCTTTTAGGAATTTCTAGAGCACATTATACACAGTGCTATTAACGGCAGAGTGTGTTTACAAAATGAAGAGCTATGTTCAACTATTCATTATTGATGAAATTTACTTTCAGTTGGGGAAAGCTGACTTCCTGTATATAATTTCAAATAATTTGCAGTTTGAAACAATCACTGTGATTTTAAAGAATCTGAATGAATCCAGACACTTATACCTTAGTATTCAACAACCCACAGTCATTTGATTTCCAGTTGTATTATTTTTCAGGTATGGTGTCTTAATTTTCAAGGGCTCAAAATTACATTGCAAACAAATTTTTATTATGTTATATGTTACTGTTACAAGCAAGATACACCATAGAAACTCAGCCAGTTTTTGTTTGCAGAAAAAAATATGACAGGACTTCAGTATCAGACTAAAGTTTAAGAATAAATTCAAGAATCACTCTTTTCATAGTTAAAAAATATTTGATATTTGAATATCAGATCACACCACTTACTTGTCAGCCTAGAACCCATACCTGTGGATGAGCATTTTGTGAGGGTTCAATAAACCTTTGTTGATTGAGATGTTCTCATTTCCTCCAGTCTGATTGCTTAGTCAATTTTAAGTATAATTATGGATGTTGTAAGCAGACCTCTGGTGGGGGGGGATAATGAGGGCTCATTAGCTATGATTAATGACCTAAGTGTTTAAATCTAATTTTATTCTCCAGGAAGAGGACAAGAAAAATCTTTCCTTTTATAAGGTCTGAACTTTGTTTTCCAGAAACATTGTGTTGTATGGATAGTAATTCTTGATCCTGCTACAATGACGTTAAATAGCCCTTTACAAGAAAGTCATGGTGTAAATAATGTACCATCTTCTTAGGTTTTAGACAACAGAGCATAAATTTATAGTATAAACTGATTTGAAATTTCAGGGTATCTTTAATTCTGAATTATGCAAAAAGACTCTTAGACAAACAAAAGGAGGAATATCCAGGTAACAAAAACTAAATTAAATAAACAACTACAGCTTCTACAAACAACACATTTATTTAGAAAAATAAACTGAAAAAATGCTGTTTGTTTATCTGATACATTTTCTCAGGAAATGATTATAAAATTGTTACATGTGAAATACAAATTGCAAATGACTTTTTGAATTTACCGAATAGAATTAACACATCACTGTCTAATATGCAGTTTACCGTGCTCAACTTCTTAATATTAATGATATAAAAGAAACCCTTTGGATTTCATTCTCATTCATTTGACCACAATAATGTTTTCTTTATAGTTCTACAGTTTGGTTTAGAAACAAATTCATTTCTTTAATTAAGTAACTTTTGTTAACCAGAAAAAAAGAGTTCTCATTATCTTGAGAAATCTCAAGTAATCCTTCTGGATGCCTGCAAGAAGCTGCTTTTTGTCATCTCAACACTGGTGGCATCATCTGTGCAAATAACATAACACTTCGTTACCCTGAATGGAAGCAACTGTGCAAATATCACAAGTGCATGGAGAAGTAATCAGTGCAAACCGACTTCCTCTCTCAACCAAAATGAAGTCGAGGACGTAACACTGGAACTTTTCAAGCAATTGGTGCCAATGCTGCTATCCATTATGGCTTTGAGGGAGCATATACTGTGGGCATGTCCATCTATGCAAACAGCAGCATTCCTTCTAATCGCATTCGTGCAGTGTTCTGGCTGGTTTAGTTTTGGTTTTGTCTAAGTATGTTGAAGTTAGGATTGATTCTGTCTTGAGATACCTCCTGTCCCTAAATTTCCACCTTTTAAAATGATAAGTCAATGTATAATTTAATAACTTCATTGATGAATTGTATTTTTTTTTCTGGGCAGGCTGATAGTCAAGATTATTGGTTTCCCGTTGTGAAATAAGATTGTTTGACTTTGTTTGCTTGTTGGCTTAGTCCTTTTCATCTGTGTGTTGTTTCTTGTGTGTTGTAACTTCCTGGTAAATCGTGAGTGAAGATACTTTAAGGCTGTGGCATTTTCTGCCCCCCTGGCTCTGATCATGATTGTCAAGTTGGAGGCAGATGATTTTATGGAGATCATCTCATTGGTCATTTGTGCTCCAAAGGAAGGGTTGGCTTCTATGACAGGGTCAGGCTTGTGGTTATACTGAAATTAGATCTGGTCTCAAGAGGTCAAGGATGAATTTGAAATAAGAAAAGTGGATCCACATGCCTCTAAATAAAAGTATTCCTTCCAACCTGATAAAGCTGTTAGAAAGAAGAAAACAAAGACATATATCATTGCAAAATCAGTTCAAACAGTAGGTATAATTTAAGAAAAAGATATAAATATTAGGGATAGAAATATGTATTAATTTAATATGCTATATAATTTCAATTTTGAATTCTTTGAATTATCAATCATTTGTTTAAATACTATATACAGTAAAATCACTGTATAAAAGCATTTTTATAACTTAATTATCAAGTCTTGATACTATAATGTTTCTTTTTCTTTTCATTTAAATTTTAAAATTTTACATACCATCCCCAGTTCTCCCTTCCCTCCTCCTACTTCCACACCTCCCCATTTCCCACTCCCCCCCACTCCCATTCTCCCACCTCCCCTGTATCCCACTCCTCATAGTGGGTAAGGCCTTCCTTGGGTGTCAACCAAGTCTAGCATATAAAGTTGCAGCAGGAAAAACATCTCCCCTCTGTATCAAGGCTAAGCAAGGTATCTCACCATAGGGAATGGACTCCAAAAAACTAGTTCATACACCTGGGATAGACCCTGTCCCACTGCCAGAACCCCCAAACAGATCAATCCACATAATTGTCATCCACATTCAGAGGGCCTACTTCAGTCACATGCAGGTTCCCCAGTTATCAGTCCATAGTCCTTGAGCTCCCACTAGTTCATGTCACCTGTCTCCGTGGTTTTCCCAGTCTTGATATTGATCCTCATTGTTCATATGATCCCTCCTCCCTCTCTTCAATTGAACTTTTCAAGCAAAAGATTCCTTATCCCTCCCATTTTTTTTAACTTCATGTAACTTTACTCGCTTATAAATCTTTCATATTCTCAACATACTTCTTTAAGGCCCTGAAGACACACTTTTTAAATATATTTTAAATATATTGCCTTGAAACATTTAAAATTAGCTCTCCATTAATGCCGATATTTTACTTTGAAACTCTTAGTGATATAAAATAATGTAACATAATGTAAATATCATCAGAGTAGCCAAAGTATACCATCTGCTTTTGTGGAGCAGAACTGCTTGAGAACTGGTTTTGTTTGTCATCACAGGTACCTACACTACCTAAAACCAAGTGTTTTAAAAGAATTTGCATCCTTGTTTTTAATTGATGAGTATGTTAGTGGAGAAGCAAAAGTAAATGAAGCATTGTCATAATTCTCAGCATCCAGAACATTTAACATGAATTGATGTTTTAGGTCTTCTGTCTTCTGTCACATTAATGACATAGTAGAGAATACTCACAACATTAGGTCCAGAAAAAAAAGTGTTAAAAATTGTGTCATGATTGATCCTTTGATTTTAGTAAAGATGAGGTACTGTTTTCAAGTTAAAATTAAAATAATAATGTTTTTGTTTATTCTTTGAGAACTCCATATAATGTGCCAATCCCCTCTCTCCAACTACTTCCGGGCCATCCCACCTCCCTTCCCACCTATGACCATTTGAATGAGATTTCCCCCCATTGGTTCGTATATTTGAATACTTTGTCCCCAGTTGGTAGAAATGTTTGTGAAGGATTAGGAGGTGTTGACTTGTTTAAGGAGGTGCATCACTGGGAGTGAGTCTTTAAGGTTTAAAAATCTGACACCATTCCCAGTTAGCTCTCTCTGCCTTATATGTGGATCCATATGTAAGCTTTTAGCTACTGCTCTAACACCATGTGTGGCCTTTCTGCTCCCATGTTACACATCATGATGGTCATGGTTTCACCCTGTGAAACTGTAAACCCCCAATATACTCTGTCTTTTATACGTTTTCTTGGAAATGGTCATAACAACAGAAAAGTAATGGAATTATTTGCCCTTCCATACCAAGATATTTACTGTGCTGTTATATTGATAATTCTTTGATATTGTTCTACTGTGAGAAAAATGTCTTTGAAATTTAAGTCCATAACAATAAAAAGAAAAATCCTAAATAACCTTTTCTTCTAACCTGAAGATCAAATTTCAGAAATCAACAAATAAGGTCTGACAGAGTGTGGATCTTTGCTCTGGCTCCTCATTAAAAATTTCCTATGAAAGGAACAGAAGGCATGAAGAAAACGGGTTAATCACAGAGCTGCTTCAGAGAGCATGAGTACATCTGTCTGAAAGAGGAAAACACTCTTGAATATCATGGGAATCTATCTGTTCCATTTTTATATTACCTGGGAATTGGAGCTTCTATGTATGCAAAGGAAACCAACATTAGCTGTTAAAAATACATAAGTAACAGGTTCACAATAATTAATATTGTGATTTTCTATGAACTTAAACCAGTATGAAACATGGTTAAAGTTGACTTTCTCTAAAAATACTAAAAATATGGGTTTAGAATTCATGTATTTTTTAAAAGCTGTTTAAGTATTCCCATTATAAATTTTTAAAATTTATTTTTATTTAAATTAGAAACAAGCCTGTTCCACATGTTAATCCCAGGTTCCTCTCCCTCCCCTAATCCTCCATCCCCTATCAACCCCTCCAACCCCCCACCCATACCCACTCCACTCCCAGGGATGGTGAGACCTTCCATGGGGGCTCCCCAAAGTCTGTCATATCATCCAGAGCAGAGATTAAGCCCTCCCATATGTGTCCAGGCTGAGAGAGCATCCCTTGATGTGTAATGTGCTCCCAAAGTCCATTCGTATGCCGGAGATAAATACTGATCTCCTACCCCAGCCCCCATAGACTGACTAGGCCTCTTCACTGACACCCATGTTCAGGGGCTTTGGATCAGTACCATGCTAGTCTCTCAGCCATCAGTCTGGGGTCCATGAGCTTCTCCTTGTTAAGGTCAACTTTTCCTGTGGGTTTTACCAGCCCAGTCTTGACCCCTTTGCTCATCACTCCTCCCTCTCTGCAACTGGTTTCTAGGAGTTCAGTTCAGTGTTTAGCTGTGGGTGTCTGCCTCTGCTTCTATCAGCCACTGGATGAAAGCTCTAAGATGGCAGATATGGCAGTCACTGGCTGCCATTCCGGTCTTGCCCCTCCACTCTCTGTTAGAGAGGTGAGTCCCAGGGGCTCCTCTAGCCCACCTTTCCCTCTTTGAGTTCCCTGACCTGCAGCCAACAGACCCTTCCTGCCACTGAATCCCCCACAAGGACCTGGAGGCCGAACAAAGCATCCAGCACCATTGGCTGGCATTCCAGTCTTGCCCCTCCACCCGCCAGTGGGGGGGCATAGAACCTTTCACATATCCACCAGGAGAGACCCCACCTATAGCCACTGGAAGAAGACATGAGAGGATGACAGTATAAGAACACAGCCAACAACAGAAAGAGTTATATGACACCACTGGAGTCTAGGAACTCTAGACCAGCAAGACCTGAACATACCAACACAGAAGAAACAGAAGAGAATGACCTTAAAAGCGTCTTCATGAAAATGATAGAGGCCCTCAAAGAGGATATAAGAAAATCCCTTAAAGAAATGGAAGAAAAAAACAAACAAAAAATTGCAAGAAATCAACCAATCTCTTAAAGAAAGCAACGAAAGTCAAGAAAAGCAATTAGATGAAGGAAACAATTCAGACAGTTCAAGACTTAAAATATTCCCATTACATTTTCATAGGACTATAATTTAGGAGAGTTAAAAACATTTTAATATTACTTATTATTGATTTCTTAAATAAAGTCAATCTATTCTTCATCTGTTAACTCATTCAAAATATTTATTTTCATCCAATAGCAACAGATTCTGAATTAGGAACCACAGATATAGTAAAAGAATTTCTGTGAGTACCACTCCCAAGAAGACTCCTAGTAAGATTTGTTCCACAATGTGAAATGAAAGGTAAAAGTAGGAATAATGATCCAACAAGAGGCATCTGAATTGAGATCTGAGAAACTGATTAGAATTACAAAAGTAATCAACTGCTAATAGCTGGGAAATAATGATATTTGGTATGAAAGAAACAGTAAGGCTAAAGACACAGAAGGAAGGTGATGCTTGGTGTCTCCTGTATTTTACAGAAGCAAGGCGGGACCTTTTGCCTTAGATCTTGTATATGATAGAATTTAAGGAAGAAAAGACAAAAATCTTTGTAGAGTTAGCAGAGCTCAGGATGCCCTTAAAAACAAACAAACAAACAAACCAACAAAAATCTATTGCAACAGGAATAGGACATGATTAAACTGAAATATAAATAAATAAATAAATAAAAAAGAATCTTTAAGGAGAGAGTGGCTGGAAAGGGTGAAGTCAGACTGAAGAGGTGGGGGAGAGGGAGTATGTATTGCACATGTTTTAGCCAAAGGAATGTCAGAAACCAAGGCTGTAAGAAACCATTACAGTTTCAGGTGTTTTCTTGATGACAAATTGAGAAGGGTAAAATAGTCTACTCTTTTTCACTAATTTAAGAGTTATTCCATTCAGTTGACACCTACTGAAGAGAAGAGCCAACATGTTTCAGAGATTTTCATATTTCTATTATTTTGGGAGGTAGCTCTTGGAAGTTGATATGTGCTTTTCAGTTCTCAGAAGCCACAAACTGAAAGCAATAAAATAAAAATCCAAATCTTAAATATACATTTTACATTTGCTGATTGAACTATAAAATGGGCTATTAAAGGATACATTTCTGCTTTTCTGAGTACTAGAGTTAGAGATCCACGTGGCTGGCTTGCTGGTATTAAGCACTGTGTTGTTCATTTCAGAAATATCAGGCTTAAACTATTGTCTGACTGGAGAAAAGCTCCAAACAATTTTGATATTTAAGTTTTCAAATTTTATGATACAAACTTCTATTATTATAGGTTTTAAGATATACAATTTTTTAAAATAATCACTCTGTATTTATATTTGGATAGTTCCTTAGATTGTGGAGGGAGGTAATGATGCCTGTTGACATGTTAAATGATGGTATGTAAAAATAAATTTGCTAAGCCCTGAAATGATGAACGAAATAATTGCACACATCAAAACCTGTTATAAACAAATATGAACTAAGGTACACACGTGGGAATGCTTTTTGATCCATTCTTGAAATCAGAGGGGTAAATGCTCAGGTAGGCTTTGCTTCATT